AGCGACTGAAGCACTTGAGGTACTATGCATCTTTCGAATGACAGGGAACTTCGAATGATAGTCCGTAATGAGCAGGAAATCTGTACCGTCAAGAGAGAATAAGTCTGTAGCAAGTTTCGTCCAGGGGGTTGGTGGAATATCATGTGGTTCCAGTGGTTCCCTATGTTGCTGAACCTGGTTTTTCTGGCATGTATGGCATGTCTTAACAACGTCCTCGATGTTTTTATTGATGCCTGGCCAGTATACCGTATCCCTGGCTAGTCTGCGGGTTCTCTCTATGCCCATATGACTGGTGTGTAGCTGGTCCAAGATGTCTGACTGAAGTGATGGGGGTATTACCACTTGTCGTCCTTTGAAGATGATCCCGTTTGCAATTCCCAGTTCATCTCTGTACGACCAGTACACTCTCAGATTGCTTGGAACTTGCTTCATTACGTCTGGCCAACCCTCCTGAATGATGCTACTCAACATCTTCAGAGTCGGGTCACTTGCTGTTTCTCTCTGCAGCTGTGTCTGTTTGGTAGGCGTGAAGCTTGCCAGATCAGGGTCATATCTGTCATCCACTTCCATGACTTCATCGACGTGAAATTCAATGGAAACATCGCCTTTCTTCTTGGGGTTCGGTAACCTGCTTAGAGTGTCTGGGAGTGTCATCTCACTTCCAGGTTTGTACAGTACATTGCAGTCATATCCTTGAATCTTGACAAGGAGTCTCTGTAGCCTTGGCGGTGCACTCCTAAGTGGTTTTCTACAAATCATCTCAAGTGGTTTGTGGTCGGTGTGGACAGTGAACTTGTTACCGAACAAGTAGATATGGAAACGTGTGATTCCAAAGACAAGTGCTAGTGTCTCACGCTCAATGTTGGAGTAGTTGGATTGCGCATTTGATAAGCTCTTTGAAGCAAAAGCGACAAGTTTTCCATTCTGAAGGAGGCAAGCACCTAGTCCCTTGAGTGATGCGTCAACTTCTAGTACTGTCGGAATATTTGGGTCATAGTACTGTAAGCATGCTCCTTCTGCAATTTCTGACTTCAAACGCCGGAAGAATTCCTCATGGTCTTCCTGCCAGATAAAGGGCACATCCTTTTTCAGCAAGTCTCGTAGTATTGCTGACTTCTCGTCGTAGTTAGAGATGTATGGCGAAAGATACGTCATTATACCCAGGACTCTTTGCAGTTCGTCCTTGTTCTGTGGGGTAGGCATCTCTCTGACATCTTCTAGTTTGCTAGGATCTGACCGTATGCCTTCGTCTGTGTACAGGGAGCCGAAGAAGTTAATGCTTCTTGCCTTGATCACACATTTTGTGCTATTGAACATGAGACCTTCCTTCCTTGCGACTTCCACCAACCTCCACAGATTAGTATCGTGCTCTTGCTTGGTTCTGCCAAAGACAGCGACATCATCAGCAATTCCGACGCATCCATGAAGCTGTGCAAGGATTGTGTCCATCCTTTGCTGAAAGATGTCTTGGCTGACTGAGAGTCCGAATGGCAGTCTGCAAAAACATTATCTTTCAAAAGGCGACCTGAAGGTGTTGAGTTCCTGCGATTCTTCGTCCAAGTGCACCGACCAATAACCTGCTTTGGCGTCTAGTTTTGAGAAGTATTTTGCCTCCGAAAATGCAGGATTGAGTTCCTCTAGAGTCGGAACCTTATGGGGGCATCTCTTGAGACTCTGGTTAAGTTTTCGTGGGTCGAGGC